CAGTATTAGAAAAGAAGTAACCTGACAGAAAACAGCAGTGAAGACTCAAGCTTACTATATGCTTTTCAGATCTATCACCTTTACTTTGTCTAAATTCTTCCTCCATTCAGGTTTCCCTAGCCCTTGGCTTCAGCTGTTAATTACTTTCCTGTTCCTGTTATTTATCCTTTGATGCTGACTGTTGTGCTTTCTTCATCCATGTGGTCCACGGAGACAAAAAAGTGTCTTTCACCTTTGAGCTCTAAGAATTTGGGGATTGGAAGAACTGAAAAGAAACATTAAAAGAAAGCAGATAAATTGGAGATAGAGGTCAGGCAGGTGTTATTTGTAGCAAGGATCTTTTCCCTTGGCTTAGTACCTTTCTCTCATTGCGTTACTGATCCACTTTTGTTATTCTCACACATTATAGAGACGAGTATTGTAAAAGAAGCTTAGACTTCTAAACTCTGTAAGTCTGCATCATTTCTCTGTAATGAACGGAATATTTTGATAATGTAGGTTTCCTATCTTCTACACCTCTATGACGATATTAAACAGCTTTTGTCCAGCTCTTAGATAGTACCCTGTTCTGTTCTGAACTTGTTGATAACAGTGAATTTTCCTTTGGACATTCATACCACCTTTAGAGGTTTCTCCTAAGAAAGCTTCTCTCATGTCTGTGTAGGCTGATGCATTGGCACAACTACTGAATCCCCAAGGCAAATAATTTTAATAAAGTCTGCTTGTTATCTTAAAAATGGCAAGCTCTGGAAACGTTTCTATAGCACATTAGCAATTTCTGGCACAAGTAATAATAAATTAAGCAGGAAGCAAAAGCAGTAAAACGAGCAGCTGCATAAAGCAGTAATATTCACTCACAGAGAGAGTAAGCAATATTTTTCATGTCTGAAAACATTTCATGCTGCTCCCATGCTCCCGGATTGTGTTGTAGCTCGGTGTCAAGCTGCAAAAGCTGCTAACAAACCTGGAAAACGACAACTTTTGTGAACATAAAAATCACTTCCACACAGTGCTACATTTTCTTATCAGAGTTTATTGTTGCACTTCAGATACCATGCCACTATCAGAATAATATCTATTTTTTATTTTAAAAAACTTGGAGAAAAATGTTTCCAGCAAATTTCATTCAATGTGAATGACAAGAGTATTACATCTATAAACATTGAATATCTATTTAATTTCTTCCTGAGGAAGTTTCACATTTTTAAGCAATGAAAAAGGATATTCTGTACAAGATAGTCTGCAAATCATTGAAACTAATTCTTTCTGCACAAGTAGAACTGGGAAAATATCACAGTATTTTCAGGAACGTTTGCTCAAACAATTAAGTGATTTAATATCAGGCTCTGTGTTTACACCCCCCAATGGTCACTTCTGCTCATAAACACACATTGATTTTTAATGGCATGGCTGTCTGCAGAAAGCAAATTTCAGAATGGTATTTATGAAAATAAAGGTGAAGCTCACATTATCAAGCATTTGTTTAAGAAATTGCTTGTGCAGTTATCTACCAGGGGAACAGAAACCATGGCTGTGTCACCAACCACAATTAAACATCTGACTTTGACTAGCAAACATAAATTCGCTGTAAAGAATCAGTATTTAAGACTGTTAATATTGATAGTCTATTTCGGGAAATCAAACACTGATTGTAGGTAAGCTGTGAATAGAAGAGGTTAAACTTGGTCAGATAATTCATGTAGTGTGACTTGCTTACTCAGCTGTACTCATGTGCATCCTATGATTTGGGGAATAACACATCTAGCTGTCGTCTGCATGCTTTGCTCACTCTTCGTTCTTCACCAAGTTGACCGCACATTAAAAGTCATTCTGTTTTTTAAAGTCTCCTGTTAAATGTAAGAACATATTTAAATAGAATAATTCTGAAGAAAAAAAAAGTGGCTTCATGCCATCTTTGTATAAACAAGTAATAAGCGAACACGAGAAATTCAGAACTGCAAAGAGCCCCAGCAGTTTGCCTCTACGTCTCTATTGCTTTGGTGCCGGAGACTAGCCCAGCCAGGGCACGGGAAGCTGACCCCGCAGCACCTTTTCCGAAGATGCTCGTGCTTAACGGACACGTCTCAACAGGAGCTGGGACTTACACAGATTCAAGATCATGCCCTTTCAGACACACAGTTCCACATCAAGCTACTTTACTCACAGCATCGACTCAGGTGAAGTTACCACAAGAATCCACTGGAGATCTCCCTAGGAACTCATTCATTTTGTTCCCAGTTCACTCCCTTAGGAAGGGCACTGGGACAATATAAGAGCTCCACCCTGCTGTTCCTGACTTGAGAGTCACCATGCCACTCCTTCCTGGAGGATAAGCTTGGTGTTTAGCTGCCAGACCAAGCCCAGTCCACCCAAGGCCAAGGCCATGCCGTGGGGGGCTTTAGCTCCCAAGTGCTACTTGGTGACTGCAGTTGGGCTGTTTTACCAGATCACCAACAACTGGAGGGGGCTCCCTGCCGTACCTCAGAGAGGACTTCATAGTAGCTGTCTGCAGCTTGTCGTCTTGTCTGTTGTGAAATTTCTAGAGGAACAATGTGACTAAAGTGCGTGTCCTCATCACCCTCATCATGTCCTTGATCGCCCACTTGTTCTGCAGGGATCTTGATTTCCCAAAGAATGAAGACAGAAAGGGAGATCTTGGAAACAAGGAATGAACTATGAATGTGGCTGAAGCCCATTCCTCCTGTATGTAGGAGGCACCCAATTTGTGTGCAGAGGGTCCTCTCAGCATGAAAACTTCAGGCATTTGATAGCGCCCCAAGGTTTTTCTTCTATTTTACAATCGCTGCTCTGCAGAACACGGAGCAACTGAGGCAGCAGTGCACAAAGCAGGAGCTTGTGCAATCCTCGTGGTTGTTTTCAAAATGTTTGAGTAACATTACATCAGGTTATATCACGGGTAAAATCAATCACACCCCTGGGTGTTTTCTCCAGTTATTCAATTTAGTTGTAAGAAATCCATATGGATGCTTGCAGGACACATGAGCTGCCCATAGCATGCAGAGTATTTGCTTTTACAGATGTTCAGAATCCAGAGTGTTTCTTTTATCAAGAAGTACTTTAAGACAAGTCAGCTTTTGGGACGAATCCAGGTGACAGCGAATATTTGAAGTGAAATGAAAATTCTCATTCTGTCTGATAAATAATAAAGATGTTCATCTTAAAAAAAGTCTACTCTAGTAGGTCCTCATCATTAATCATGCATATTCCCTTAGCAAAAATGTGCTGCGTAAAGAATACTGTTATATACAGCAAATTTGACTAGATTTTTTTCTTTACAGGTACAAAGACAAAATCAATAAATAAAGATAACCAGTTAGAGGAACAGTAAGGATCTCACCATCTGTTTTCAAGTTAGGGAATAACAGACTGGTTTCCGTTCCATTACCTTGAAAGTTAAATTATATGTTACATAAATGTCATAAAACAACACTGAGACATATTTTCCACCATTTGATGCGTGTTTTTAACTACTCACCCTAAAACAAATCATGAGAACATTACAGAGCTGCTGTAGAAAGCCTTGCTTTTAGTACTGTACTTCTCTTTTGTTTTCACTGCCTCTTCATGCCTTTAGAAAAACTCAGAGCCGAAGTTCAGTGGAGAAGCATCAAGGCCATACTGAGTGGAAGTTTTCATTGATCTTTCTCAACTTTTAAGTACTATTAATTAGACTTTATCTCGCATCTGAACTGATGCACTGTGAGATGTATCACTGAAATGTGCCACATAAATGCAAGCCTGAATATTCATGTTTTCTGTGATCAGAGCGTAATTTCTACCATGATTACACACTATGTTTATTTTTTTCCCCTAAAGCTTATTCCTAATATTTATTACCAAACATGTTTAACACATCTGGAACCAGAACCAGTATTTTCATCTGGAAATCTGAGAGATTTTTGCAGCTGATGTAAATTGAAGGTTACTGAAAGATGCTACGATTTTGATCAGGTTGAGAGATCCTGGAATACACAAAGCATAGATTGAAGGCAAATAAGTTAAGGAAAAAATACTGGTGCAAATTAAGGCAATCTAAGTATGGATCTGTTCCTGCTGTTTACGAGTTCAGTGGAGTCACTCCTGATTGACAGAAATGGAAGCCCAGAGTGCAGTATCCGGATCCGGCGGCTCACAGAAGCCAGGAATGAAAGCCCGTTCATTGCACTGCTTCGGTTTGGTTCACAAGCGTTCAAGTGTAACACTGCTCTTCAGGGTTATATTGCAACTTTTTCGCTTCGCACGTCCAATTAAATTTCTGCTCAGGTGACAGCTATATTCTGTATTTCAGCCAGTACAAAGTCAGGACAATGGACAAAGGCCCTTACCACATTGTAAGGGTCTGTTGTTACATGCTGTAGTCATAGGTAATGTGTTTTGTGTGTGTTTTGTTTTTTTCTACACTGCTTTGCCTGTGGGTTCCGGATTTTGCTCCATGTATTTTGTTGCTATGCACAGCTAAATCATATATGATAACTGTACTTCTCACCCTTGTAAGTATACATTTTGGGTATTAGCAAGCTGATTCCAAACGCAGAAGTACACCTGGCATTTTGTGCTACATTAAGTTTTCTTATTTTATGCAAGACAATAATCAAACAGTAGGAAAAACTGTCAGCAGTCTAACAATGGGCTACAAAACCTACATGAGACACAATACTTTTAAACTGATATATAAAAATCTAAATATTTACCGTGAAATTGGACAGGTCATGTATCTCTGAAGCTTATACCAGTTGCAAATAACATTCACATATGTGCACAGTAGTCCACAAGTCCACAGGCCCAGAAATGTTTATGAGAAAGATTTGGCCCACCAGAGCTCTAAGAAACACAAGTATTTTCACAATCCACATGCCAGCATATGGAAATAATTTCTATCCTTCACTCTTTTTTGAAGAGGTATATCTTACAAGACCTTCTGGTAGCTACTGGAGACTAGGTACGATGACTGAAGTGTGGAGGAGAGCGTTTTTTCAATGCTATCTTACTTTCTGCAGCTCCTGTCTCAGCCACGATGGCAGGGGTTGTCCCAATTTGTGTAGGAGTTTTGACAGTTCCACGTTGTGATCTCTGTAGTAGCTTGACAGAAAAGCCCTGCACTGATGGATACAAAAGGAGATATTTTTATTTAATAAAATGTTGTACTGCAGTTGCTGTGAATTCTAGGTTTCAAAGTTTGTTTTACCTGTGTCAAAACTTTTCTTTCTCTTATGCAATTTCTATTGTTTTATGCTATCTACTGCATGCAAGTTTAAACTCTTCAGTTAGGAGCTGAACTGTAAAAGATAACTTTGGGAGAAACAAAGGTTGTCCAAAACAAACACTGAAGTCAAAGTGAAGGATCTGATTCTACTCTCAGATAGTAAGGTACATTAAGAATTGCACTGAAGTTGATGCAGTTACTCTGAATTTACTGAAGTGTGATTGAAACCAAAGCTTCTAAAATATCTTTGTATGTAAGCATGTATCAATTTATAACTCTTTTTTCAGAAGTATTTAGAGTTGAAAAATACAATAATAAACAAACACAGTCTTGTCTTCTCTCTGGCCAAAAGCCTTCTCACCCAGTGATTTTATATCAGTATGATTCTACTGATGTAAAGTTACTTATAATTTAAGTACTGTGAGAAAAAAAAAACTGGCTTGCTTGCCACACTAATAAATACTGCTGTTCAAACTGTAAGTTTTTATTTGTGTTTTAGCCAGCTAAATGAGATGGAAATACAGGACAGAATAAACATACAAGTAACAGGTAGAATAGGAGACTAAACTGCCCCTGGGTACAGGCTGCAGCATTTGGTCTGATGGAAATTTCTTCATTTCAGCATTTGTCTGGGGAAGGTATTTATAAAATTAATAGAAACAGAGTCTAACCTGTCTTATGACTGGATTACCTGAGAGTCTAACTGCTCTCCAAGACGAGGGACCAGACACAAATATCTGATCATGTCTGAGAAAAAACCATGCACTGTGGAGCCTCTGCTGCTTAAGTCACTTAGGTAAAGGCGACAGGTTTCCAGGTGAATTTCAGGGGTGCCAAGTTTATTTTTCTAAGGGTTACCAAGTTTTAAAAGTTGTTTTTTTAATGACTTTAATTCTTCACATTTGAAATAAAGAAATGAAAAAGTCTATGCACTCCACAGCTATCTTGAATGTTTCCTTTGTAGGGAACAATTAACATCTACTTAATTTTGTGTTCTTTCCCTTCTCACAATTTTGCTTGTGTGGTGTCCCATGTGCAACAACTGAATCCCTATATAATGCTAATGAGCATAATGGTTTACCTCAGAATCCATAGGAGGGTATTTTCTACCTTTGCTCTTTCCAAGACACTTTGTTTTTCCTTCTTCCAGGAGCTGGCACCAGAAACCTTTATGTGAATCGAACCTGAAACAAATATTTTGCGGTGTAAAGGCTGTGAGATATTGCAAGGAGGATGCATCTCCCAAGTTTAGACAGAAGACTCGAAAGAATAAACCTAAGGTTATCGGTCTTATTTTAAGGGCAACCAAATCTAAATGTCAGAATCCAAAGGATTTGCGTACTTGTGTACTTTTGATGTACAGAATGGATGTTAACATTCCTGACTGATACCATTGAATCTGTTTTGCAGCTAACGTCAAAGTAAAGAGAATTTTTCTGTTTATGGATGTCAGCAGTCCGTGTTCCACTTACGGAAATAAAATTCCTTTTGATTCATCCAAATTCATCATCGTATGCAATTCTCACGAAGCAACACTACTTTCTCTGTTTGTCAGAGGTCTACTTCTGGAACAGCCAAGCTCCACACTGAGTGGCTCAATGGGTGACTCACAGAAAATCTAACCCTGAATTGTGTTCTTTGCAGACATTGAAGAATACGTCCCACTCACTTCTCGAAGGAGAAGTATGAGAGGCTTTATTTCGCAGTGAGCTTACTTACAGACTAACTGGTATTTTAGGAATATGGGGAAATGACGATTAAAATTAACTCACGTTAGGGCTTCAGAGTAATTGTAATGAGGAGAGACTCCCAGAAATTTCTGTACTTCATCCATCACGGTAGACGGGTCGGTTCTCAGCTGCTGTCCATCAATAATTAGCAACTACAACAAATAAAATAAAAGGAAGTTTAATTTAAAATTCATGATTTCAAGCTTCAAACTGAAACTTCCACCTCTTTCAACTCATTCGCTACATGGAGAGTACTGCCCCAGAGAATAATTGGTCCAGTTTTAATTGTCATCATCATTAAAGACCTGGAAGCAGGGTAAATGGCATGTTAATTAAATCTGAAATTATATTAAATTGGAAGCTGTTGTGATAACAGAGAAATAGCAGTGAAGGATCTAGAAAGATAAGAAATATTGGCAGGAAACTGAGTGAGATTTGTCCAGCCAAGAAAAAAAGGTATTAATGCCTAGAGAAATAACTTATAATTCTCATAAACACATACATATGTATGTTACAGTAATGTTGAAAAGCTTGTCACTGGAAATGACCAGAAAGACAGAAACCAGTAGGTAGGTGCTAGGTGAAATGCCTTACTTCTAAACCCATACAACAATACATAATTGTATGAGAAAAACTTCTTTGAGAATACGAATAAAGGCAGATGTTGAACCATCTGCAAATCTATTTTGATTTGTGTGGTCCTCAAATCTATGAGGACCTTAAGGAAGGGATGTAGATAAATACAGAATGTGCGACACATCTCTAAGAAAGCCCCAGGTACTGGTAGGTAATTTCTTTCTCTTCCAGTGCTTGACCATACACACACCTGCAGTAGACTACTTCAGGCAGCGGCACCCTTTTACCTGCGGATGAATCTGCAGGGAAACAGACACTACTGGAGAATTTTATTGGATGTGGTATCATGCCCAAATGACCCACTGATGGTCAGCAAGGATCTTTGTGACTGTTGGAAGAGAAGCAAGGTCCCAAATGGATTAGCCAAGCATTCATTCCCAGTCATAGAAACACCTCTACTTTTTCCATCATGTGAGGAAAAGGGGAGGAAATAGATTTGCAGATGGTTCAACAACCTCTTTCTGCAAGCAGTGCTGAAGCTTGTTTTTACATTTTCATGCAAGCAGAGAGGCTAAAATCATATGAATTGCTTCCAGAGTTGGATGAAACTTGGAGTTTTGCAAGACCATGAAGTTTCAGAGCAGAACCAAAAGGGAGAGAACGCCTTTTCTTTCAAAAGACCAGTCTTTGGGATCACTCATAGATAGCATTAGATTTAGAAATGTGGATTAGTGGAAGTATCAGACTGTTCAGAGAGCAGTAGCTCATTCCAGAAGTCTTTGCAATTAGATGCATGATGCAGATGTCTGAGTCGAGAAAAGAACTCCCTGCTTTCCTAAGAAATAAGCTTTGAAAACAGGCCTTAAGTGCTTCATAGCACAAAGGTCAAAAAACATCTCAAATAGGGAATATTTCCATCTGAAAGGAAAGGAGTGAGCTTTTTTTTCCTTTGCTATTTAAAAAACACATTAATATCTGTGCCATTCCCACTTCTTCCACTCCAAAAAAGACACTTAAGAAAAGCTTTATCAGTGGAAATTGATTCCAATTCCTGACATTCCCAATAAGCAGGTAACAAAAAATGCTCTCTCTCAACCTTCAGGGAGGTTGTAAGGAACCTAGGCGAAATTTTTCCTTACTTGTACTGACTTATTCATATCCTGATCTCAGGATAATTTCATGTAATTCCTCAAAATCTAAGGCATTTCATGTATTGGTGAGGTGGAAAAATTAAACAGCGTAATTTTTACAAAGCAGAGAGCTTCATATATAATGAAAATACTACAGATTAAATAGTTTGAACCACTTTACAGTGTATTGATCACTTTACTGTAATATTGCTGACAGCTGAAGAGATTAAGTCCCTGCTCTCCTACTACACACGACTGCCTTCATGTCTAAAAGTCACCACGGTGTGAGCGTAGCAAGGGAGACAGTTTGCAGAAGAGAACAGTTTAGAAATAGCCTGAGTTCTTCAGCGTCAGACTGGCCATTTAATGTCGGTAGTTACAAAATCAGCTTCATTTCCTACAGGGCTGGTGCATGAACTTATCTTTTTGCTCATGAGGGAGTTTGTCATGCTAGGTCCTTTCTTCTTCGGTATGACTGCACTGAAGCAAAGAGTTGTAGGCAGGAAATTAACTTAAGAGACGTGAGCTTTCTGAACTTCTAGAGATGTTTTGGTGGCCAGACAAAAGAGGACTTTTGAATGACTTATGAGATAATAAATTAAGTTAATCAAAATTCTAAACATCTGAACCTCAAACTCGCAAAGTAGTCTGAGATTGGCAAATTCTTACCATGTAAGACAAGCGTGCTGTTACCACTTTTCTAACGAAAAGGGGAACCTTACCTTGCTGCTTCTACCACTTCCTGTATGCCTGCTAACTTCAAAATAGACATTAAGACTTCAATTCAGTCACACGTTAGAGACTCCTAAATTTATATAGCATTAAAAGTTATAGATAGCCCTAGCTGGTCGGAGGTGAGAACTCTTCTGGAGAAGGAAGGCTCTCATTTTTTTAGATAAGGCTGTGCTTTTAAGCTGAGCTGACTTTAGATTTGCCTTATATAACTGTTCTCTGCTTCGGCAGTTCCTTGAACTTGGTAAACAGTTTGGATATGGCCTACTGTGTATCATTGCTTTTGCAATTCAAGTTAATCCCTGGATATTTTACAGAGAAAACATAAGGCTACCAGGGCTGGTTCTTTGCTATCACCGTGGGATGTAAAATTTGGCAAAAATCTGTATGACAACCCATATGGTTCAATATTCATGGGTTACTTTTGGAGAAAAGCTAATGAAAACTTAATGTACAGAATTTCATACGAGTATCATGATATTACAGTATTGCGTATCTCATGAAGTCTGCAAGGCTGGCCCAAAAGAGAATAATGTGGACAATAACACCAACTAGTTGCATCAAAGCTTCCTTGACACGCTCTGGGAAAACAGAAGGTGCAGACTCCAGTCAACTTGTCTCAGCTGAGCGAGTCCAGGATAAACAGAAGGTTCAGATTGCAGCCAGCCTCCCTCAACTAAAGTAATCTTTAAACGTTGGGTGGGGAGTAGTGCCACACACACCACTACCATCAGAAAAATCCATTCCAGAAATAGATCTACCAACGAGATACTGATCACGTGATATTGTCTGTCTGGTCTTGTATATCACATGATCTTCAGGGCTTAGGATGTGCACCTTCTGCGGCTTGATCTTACACAGGGCCAGAGGGAGTCCAACGATTTGTATTTCGTATGCCAACAGAAGCTTGCAGGGAGATCCAATTTTCAGGTTGCTAATGTGCCACATGTGCTGAAACCCATGGGTCCGTAAACACACACCCTTTGAGGCTCAAAGACACACAGAGAAACTAGTCTTGACACCAAGAATATGTTGAGGATTCAGGATCACTGATAGATACCAAATGTAGATGATGAGGAATAGCAACAAGTCAAACTGTTTCAGTGCATGAATGAGTCCCAATAGGGGCTCCGATATGTGGATGTTATGGGCAGCAAAGTGTGATGAATTCCCAAAAAAAAGTGTGCAAAAGAGACCCAGTGCTTTGACAGTTACAGAAAAGTCATGTTAGGCAAAATATGAATTCACCTGAAAAAACAGTGATGTCTGAGGTGGCAAACACGTTGATGTACACAAAGGCTTTACGTACATTGCTAACTAAAACAAATCAGAAACAGCTTTCTGGTCTCAAGGCCAAATGGCACAGCATGACCTGGATCCATGTTGCTAAGCTCTCTCACCTGCAAAACCCAATTGGTTGTGTCCACACTTCCCAACGGTAACGGTTCTTGTTATCTTTCTAACTGTGCTCTGGAACGGACTGGCAAGATGCTTTTTGCTATGGGCCCAAACTGTGCCAGAGGTGTGTTAAAAATCAGCGTGTGAACTCTTGCACAGGTACAGGTTTATTTACTACTACAATCACAGCCTGAAGGAGTTGACACAGTGGGACACCACTGCATGAAAGGATCAACAAGTGAGTGAAGACACTAACACATTTAAATATTAAGGTGTTACAAAACCACTACATTACATCCATTTCCATGCAGTAACCCCCATTTTGGACAGAAAAGGTATTTTTTACACCCTAAAGTGTTCAGACACCAGAACTCTTCTCTACCCATGCAGGGAGGGCAATATTCCAGCCGACTTCCCTTGACACGAGCTGACAATTGCTACCGCTCAGAGTAGACAGAAATGTTACTGAGCAGCTTCCCTTTACTTTCCTTCAACTTTTTCTTTTGGGAACTCTGATGGACCATCTGATATTAAAGAGGCCACAAAGCACTGCATGCCTGGTTATCTTTTCTTCAACATTACTGACAAACAGCCAGACATAGAGTGATGAAGCCTAAGCAAATGAAAACCAGCTGGAAGTTAAAGGCAGTTCAGGGTACAAGAGAGTTCAAGGAGCAGCAGTCATGTTCCTTGAGCTTCCAGATTACTGTTCTGATTTGTTTTGCAGAAGCAGCTCCCACCTGTAAGGTGCTAAGACATGACATTCCTAACAACCAAATATGAATAATCATAATCGATGTCCTAAAACATGCTCTAGAAAATCTACGACACCCATGAGGATCAGTATTCAGTAGGCAAGACTTTTAACAAAGGTAACCTTTTAGGATATTTTATATATATATATATATAAGATTAGAATGCGAAGTTACCATCTTATTCACCTGGTAAGGTGGGAAGTAAGTTAGCCATCTTTCAATATGGGTAGCATACCATCCAGGTGCTAGGCATCTCTTTTGGAGAGCTCTAAGCTCAGATGGGGCTCGAGGTCCAGCTGTGATCACCTGATAGAAGCTGAATTTTAGAGCTGCAGGATCTTCATGTGATCGCTGATGCTGTAAAAGAAGTTACATTGCTGGAACTTTACAGGCCACAAAAGCTTGGAAAATAAGACAAAACTGGTTGGTCTTCAACCTGGCCTTACTGACCTTGTCATGAGGGATTATTTACACCAAAAGTTACTTAAGGTTACAAAGTGTTCATCTGTATAAATTTGTTGAAAATGCTGGGATAAACATGGTTTTGTATCAATAAATATTGTTTGTATCAAAAGAAATCAGAAGCTAGACTAGCAACAACAAAATCAAACGTATAAATGTTTATTTTCAATAAACTGAGTGGCAGGTTTTGTACAGATGAATCAGGCATGATAAACACAAATACTAAGAAGCTCTGTTTCTAGTAGTTTCATATTTCCTTTTCCAGCTTACACAAGGTAACTATGCAGAAAGGCAAATTTGAACACTAGTACTTATAAGGATGATTGGATAATTCAGGTCGGAAGGGATCTCAGTAGGTTTCTAGTCAAGTCTCCTGTCCAAAGCAGGGTAAGCTATGAGTTCAGACTCAGGGTTGAGATTACCACTCATCATAGAAAAAAATAAAATACATCACAGAAGTTCTAAGAACTTGGATCTCTTTGGAGTTTTAACTTTCTTTTTTTTTTTTTTTTAATTATTTTTAGTATCTTTATTTTGCCAAATTCCTGTTGAAATCTGTGGATAACAAGAACAAAAATTTCTTAATCTATCTTGTATTCTGAGCGTGAACTAGATAACTGTCTACACATTAATTTTTGTATGTGCTGATTACATAAATTAATCAAGTAAGCAAGCATTTTTGCATGCTTATATTACAGGTAGATTTTGAAAAGGTGGTTTCTGGTATTTTAACCTTTGAAAGATTTTCATGTTTACATTGTCAGTTATGTCAGCCCATGGGTGATCACATATGGTGCACTGACTGACAAATAAAGGCTTGTATTATCCAAACCCTTTATATACATACACATTGAAAAGACATAGAGAGAGGATTCAAGGTGGAAACCTTGATTTGTGCCTGCCTGTGTTCCTACAAGCACGTACCTGATACCAGGAATATGCCCGATCGGATGGGTCGATGAGGATGGGGATGATCTTGGCCTTGGGGATGAGGGAAGCAGCTCTCTTAGGAGCTTCCTCAGAATGGAAATAGTTGGCACTTTTCTCAAAGAGGAAGTCAGTGGTGACGTTAGAAGGAGTGGGGAAGAAATCCATGTACCTAGGAAAGCAACACCATTCTCAGAATTACTTAAAAGCCACACAAAGGTTGACAAATCTGTTAAATATATTTTATTCTGGAATAATCAATTAAAAATAATAGCCTAATTGCCAAATAAAAACAAATAGAAGTTTTCATTCTATTTTTGATCATATTTTGCTTGGTACTAGCTTTCTTCTCACTACAGATAACTAGACATTGCAGCTATTTTTTGGTTACAATATTCACGTATCTTCTTTAAATGCCACTTCAAGTCATAACAAACTCCTATCAAAGTCAAAACCAGAAAATAGGTTTTCCAAATTTGGCCTTTGCTGCCATCAATTATAGTGCAATACCATAAGAAAAAGATATTCAGTATCAGAATTGCTTTTACTCAAAAGAGAAAAGAGTTTGCTTATGTGCAGAAGATGCACTGAAAAAAAAAACCACCTCAGCTTCATCAGGTAAAAGCTTTCTAAGCACTGACAGCATCTTTCACTTATTGTTCCAAGAGTCCCATTTTTGTGGAAACATGGGTTATATTCCTTTAAGTTTTCTTTGTGAGTTTTCCTAATCTGTTATGAAGTTGCAGTTAATTTCCAGCCATCTTCTATGTCACATACAGACTTCTTTATCCATGGCTCTCAGACCACCTTTCATTATTGTTGGGGAAAAGAATAAACGGGGAAATGTTGGTAGTCTTGATTTTTCAGTTAAACTTTGTATTGATTAAATAAATGCCGTTTAAAACAACCTCTTCTGAAGATCATGCTTAAGGACTGAAATGGCTTCCAGTGCTTAGACTTTGTTCTATTCATTGAATTGAGCTACTTCTAGTACGATTGACGTGCTCTTATTGGCTTTGAAATTGTGACCACTGCAGCCAAGGCCAGAAGACTCGGTAGGATGGAACCGACACACAGAGTTTTCTTTAGGACATGGATCTCACAAGATGAGGATTAGCACACGGGCACCGATCACAAGGTACTTAGAGAACAGTAGTTTAAAAGAAACTGAACTCTATGACACCTGATTCTGAGAAACTAAATCTTATAAGTGACTTTTATTCGTACATAAGCAAACATTGCCAAATTATTGCTTTGTGCTGCTTTGAAATGTGAAGGGACACTTGTCATCAGAATTACACAAGTGAAGCGGGTTGGCCTTCAGATGACAATTTTCTATGCACTAGATAAAGAACAGTAGTGGTGGACTCATTCAAGGTCTTAAGAGTAACAGCTGGTAGATGACCTTGTATCAGAGAGACCTAAATGACGTCATGAGAAGGGCTGATGGATGGGCAGGTCCCTGTGTGACATGTGCAAAGTTGCACTCAAAAATTCTGCTACGACGCTGCATAGCTATTGCTAGTCTCACATGCAGACTGTCAGTAAAAAAGCTGACATAAGAGGACAACCCAAGAAAACAGAGTGAAAGGCTGTCACTGCCCTGCTAGTTTAAGTGTTTATATCTGCCTAATGCTAATATAAGTATCTGAGAATATGATAGTGTTTCTCATTGAAAAAACAAGACTCCACTTCCCAAAAATATTAGGGCTGATTTGATGAAAACGATGAAGTTATAACAATTTCCGCTCACAAATAAAATTATTAGAAACTAATGACCCAACCTGACTGTGTGACCTCAGAATGTTCCACCAGATCATCAACAGCCAAGAAAAAGGCCAGCTTTGAAAGAGGCAATAGGCACTAAAGGCAAATCTGCTCTAGATCATGAACGGTGTCATCATGCTGCTGTACTGAAATCCTGGTAGTAGACTGAGTACATACAAGGCAGTGAGGAATCCAACCTTATAAGGAAACACTTCACATTTAATACAGCACCACACCAAATTTTGAGAAGTTAATTGATTGTTTGGATAACATGGCAAATTTGAAAAAAGTAGAAGTCGATGTGTCAGTGAAAAATGGTGAAGAGGTTGAACAGGGTGGGACATGGAGAGGTGGTAACATTTAGGCTCCACATTTCTGCTGAACTCTCGCTTAGTACCTCATTCATGAGACAATTATCAAACTCAACAAGGGCAAAGCTGAGAAGGTTTTAGAGAAACTTGCCTAAGAAATCCGTAACAATGCTTACATAAAGAAATGCATGTCTGGTCTATTTAGACTTCTTTGTTTCAAAACCAGAAAGATAAGTTCTCATCTTACTGTTCTGTTATCTCTACTGGGAGTCTACAATACACATCTGTACCTTTTTCAAGATGGCAATACTGAGGGTGCCAAGGGCTGAAAGAACCCTTTCCTGCTTCGGTAGTCAGCCTTAGTCTAAATGTAATCTCGGACAAAGACTGAGTCAGCTCTGGGAAAAAGATGTATCTCCATAACCATAAAAGAAATTGAACTGATTGTATTTGTCAATACTATTGGCTTGAAAGAATCCTAGCCAATTAATGGACTAATGAGGAGAGAGACTTTGCAACTCATTACCATTTGTTCAGCTCATTACATGCCAGCATTAAAATACACTATCAGACCAAAGGTCTGAGAGATTTCTCTGGCAGACAGAATGGAAATCAGAGCTAAGCAACTACACCAACGGGTGGTTCCAGGCACCCAAGACTTAACTGTGAGAACCTGGTAGGAGTGAGTGGGGCAAGTAGTGCAGAGGTGCAAATAGCCAAATAGGTGCTGCAGAGGGAGAACCCGCAGCAGGGTTGTACCTGGTCTGTACAGGTTGACCACGAGGAGCTTTATGCTTTATGCACCAGGGCTGTGTTCAGATGAAGGTAAGCTGGCAGAGGTCTAGCAAACAAATTGTATCTGCAGGTCAGGGAAGTGGCCATGGCAGGAGGAATGACAGAAGCAGCAAAGTGGTCTTCTAGCAACACAAAAATACTGATTTTGTGGAAGAATTGGCTCGCTGTGCTTAGGCTGCCTCCATCAGTGTGGACCCACTACAACTTGTGTGCATGTCATCTTCCCTGACTTCAAAAATCTCCACAGCAAGGAGTCAGCTTTCTAATTCCCAGTCATTCAGCCAGCATCTCTGTTGGTAATAACTGGCTGACTCACCACACTTTGTAATAAGAATCTGCTGCAACAATTAAAACTTTTCAAAAACTAAGTGACTTAGAAAGAAATTGGATATGACATATCCGCACTAAGAACATATAACAGTGTTAAGCCTGTTAATTTTATGGATGAACATAAAGTCAAAGGCAAGAAAACTATTTCCCTTAAACTGGGAGAAAAAAAGAAACAAGACAAAGTATCAATAGTCTTTTACTGGTGTTTTCCAACCACTACAGCACGTTACTGCTTTTCAACTTGTAGTGCTTCATACTGCAGCACTTTCTGCAAGCAAGAGAAGTCAAGAATGACCTTCCGGGTGTAGCTATGTCTGGTGATTCCCTGGTGGCCATAGCGAACATGGCAGCAGGGATACATACTCTTTTTTAGCACCGTTACTAACCCTATGGAGACGCTAACACTCTCCTAAACTACCTGATCTTTGAAAAACATTTTGAGAGGCTTTCCCTGTCCTTCTTTTACCTGATTTCTATTTCTAAATCCTATTTAAAGAAAAAAATGCCTCTCCCTGATATTACCTTTTTTCTCTTAAGAAATAAGATTTCCGACAGGCACACAATTTTTGCTTCCATATATCCATAATAACCATTGCTGTCCCAACTTCAAAGGCATGTGTAATGAGAAATACATATTTTGTTACTGTTTTGCATATATGAATGTATGGATATTTACAAGAAAGCCTCACAAAAGTTATTGCATTTATGATATCCTGTAGTAAGACTGTTAATCACTTGCATTTATTTATCATTTTAGAATTTTTTTTATCTCACTCTCTATATAAACAGTTACCGTTACCAACAGTAATGTCATTTTTTGTATTGTCACAATATATAAACTTTTATATTTATACTAATAACCCATCTTACCAATCAATCCCCCTGTGGTAGTTATTTCTATTAAAGAACTGTACCTCCTCAAAGGTTTTTGGGCTGGGGGAGTTACTAATGATGGAAGGATGCATGATCAGGAACAAATACAAGGCTGTGGTACCTACAAATAGGAGAAAAGTCCAAGATTTAAAAAAAAATACACACACCCTTTTTTTTTTTTGGGTCATACCCACAAATGGACTAAAACAAGTTTAATTCCATTTCATTTCAGTGAGGGGATGCTGATTTATGTCACCTAAGAATCTGTGCTTTCTGTGCTTTTAAATTGAAGATGTTTAAAGAACTGTAAATAGTTAACACAGAAACTGGAGTGTCAATACTGAAATCTGTTTTTCACACTTTTAATCACCATGTTTTAAAAGTAATTACTGTTTTTCATGAGACTGTCACAAAAATAATTTAAAAATCTTGCACTCAGTAGCTGTTGGGGATTGGTAAAGATGAAAGGAAGCACATATCCAATTTTCTGATTACAGAGAAAAAAAAAAATCAACCATTAAGTTAATTTATAAACTATGGCAACATTGCTGTTCAAATTGTCCATTAGGAACTTCTTGACTTGAAATAAATGCCATGAAATATCAAGTTTCTATAAACAAGACACTTGCAGGACAGACAAGAACTCGCAGTTAAGAATCTACACCATCTGAAAAGTGGCTGTCCTTTCCTTCTTCCACTTTGACAAGATCTTGTCTGTCTTGTTGAGCTCTTTAATCAAAGTGTTACTCGTTTTGACATAAAGCCAAAAAATTCTGACACACACCTGAACTCTGCATTTTCAGAATGTGTACTGTCTGTTGTTGTAACTTACTCTACTGAACTACATTTGGATGATATCTGAAAATCAAAAAATACTATTAGATGATCAAGATCTCTACATAGTCTGAGTAAGAAGTGATTAATCGGTATAACTATTTGAACTTAACAAATAGCTTATCGTGTTGAAATACAAAAAAACTCACCGGTTTTCTGGGGTCCTACAACCAAGAATTTTGGCAATCGATCACAGGTTTTTTCTTTAGACCAGATATCTCTGTGCCGTTTGTCATCACAGGGATTCTAAAACAGAGAAGGACAACGAAGAATTTCATTGATAATCACACCTGATAAGGTTCTCACATTACGTTGGTATAAATAACCAATTTCTCACCAATGTACAAATATTCTTACCAGAAAATATTATTTTCCCTTAGCACAGAAAACCATGTTCTGTATTAAATGAACTATTTCAGTGATTCAGAAGGGTATTTGCAATGTAACCAGGCCAGAAACTGCCTCTCAAGTATTTTTTTTTCTTTTTGATGAGACAACTATGTTGAAAAAACATGGTTTTCCTTTTAGCTCATTCTTACATATATATATAGTAGCCCCATGTACCCAACAGACCCTGGGACAAGATCATTTCTCCTATGAAACGTCAGTATGTTCAGTGGAATTATGCCAAAGACAAATTTGGTCGCGCTTACTTAAGATGTGGGAATCATTCAAAATCAATTGATCAATTACATACAAATTAGGAAGACTTAAAATTGCTAATGAGTTCTGTAATTACTGTCTTTTTCTTTTACACTACTGTAATGGCTACCACCCTATACATGCTCTAGTTTTTAGCAAACTAATTATAATGTAAAGACTCCCTTTCACAAATACGTATTCTGATCCTCCAGTTCAAATTCGTATCTAATATTGAATCCTGTTTTCTCATGTGCTCGTTACAGCTGAAGCAGTTTAAATTTGGTTTAGAAACATTACTTGCAAACAATTTTTGACACTGTTGTTTGGCAATACTGCACTGAGACAAAGGGAATTACCAGTTTTCTAGGCCTAAAAAAAGGTAACTGAATTCAGATTTACGTGCATTATAGACAAAAGACACCACATTCAGTATATATTAGTCACAGTTACTTACAAATTTCTTTTCTAAGTAATTCTGACTTTTCAAGTCATTTGGCTACAGGCTAATTTCCATTTTTTAAACTCATTTTCTCTTAATATCATGCAAAATTCTTGACATTTCCCCCCTAGTTCAATGTATTATTCAATAACAGCATGAATTTCAAGATGTATATTTAAGTCCAAATTTGCAATCTCATACTGTGGTTCTAAGTTGGCAATGCAATTTGAGTAAGCAAGCTTCAATACATTTTTATTTTTGATTTAGTAAAGCTTGCTCCTTAGAATATTTCTACCTAGTCACCTCAAAAGGATGATATTTGGGATACATATTATCACTATTGGGACACATGCACCTACAGCACTCCGACGTTCCACTGAATCGGCTGAACCATCGCTGAGGGTTTAAAAAAAGAACACGACAGCGTTCACCACTTGGTGCAGTAGTTTCTCTTTAGGGACTGTGCTCTTAGAGCTGGGTTATGGGCTGAAGATGTGTCAAGTGCAAGGCCAGGGCAGGTTCCAGCCTTGGCAGGTCTTCGCATTCCTGATATTTATAACTTGCTCATTTATAAGAGCAGAATAATCAAGCAGCAGAGCTGACAATATTAATGTATTAAGTGCTGGTAAACTTCTTGCTTGGGCCGTTCTCAGCTGTTGGTGAATAACTTTCCATTCTATCTAACCTATTTTGACTTGCCTGGCCAGCTTTTGCATTAAGGTAGCCATGGTCTTAAAGCTATTTTCTCTTTCTGGATGCCCTCACTCACTTGGAAAAAAGTTTTTTTGTTTAATGGCCAATTGCTAATACATGCATATACATCTCCTGTTATTCCAAGAGAAGAAGAGAACACAACATGCCTTTCCTGCACTTCCCATATTTCTAAAAGGAAGTAAAATCACAAATAAAAGGAATTAAATATAATTTTAATTACACAGCTTAATACATATTAATGTCATGACCTTTCTACAGAAATTTAAGTGACGGAAAACAACCGTGTACACTGAAGCTTCAGTAAGCTGTTTTATGGAACCAACTAGTAAGTCTAAAAATATTACTGCTTTTCTCTACAAGAAACTGAAACAAAGAGCTTCACAACAAACACCACCAAGATGATTTTTTTCTGATCTCTTCATCAGTAAGCCTGCTTACCTGCCAGAGAGGGTCCTTTTGCTCAGGGAATAGTTCAAAATACTTGTGAGCTAGTTGAACCGGAGGAAGAGTTTGCAGTTTCAGGTTTGTCCAAGTATGAACAAAGTTGGCCAGATTCACAAAGGTGTATAATCCCAGGCGGTCGTTTCCATAATTAGATAAATGTGTCATGAAGATGCTGATCTTTAGGAAAGAAAACAAGTAGACATTGACTCTGTGTATCACTAGATGGCAGTGTAACCACAGATAATACAAATTTAATTTGCATTTTGCTCTTAGTTAGAGCTGCAAGACTTTGATCACATTCACGTAGATCTTAATATCCTTGCTCTTCATTGAATTACATCCTTCTTCTCAAGTCAACTCAATGCAATCGATGAGGAACATAGTGGAATAGGTACTACGAGCTCTGTGCGAACTAGGATGTGCAATCCTACCGTTGGGTTGTACGATATTTACGTAGTCTTTATGTAAGTTTATCTAATGGAGGATACAGCAAAAACAATACCCACAGTTTTACTTCCAGTGGAATACAAATCGATATGAAACACATGAATTCTGTTTTCATAGAAGAGTAAGGAAGTCAGAGACCAAGAGGACAGCGGACCTCTGTTGCTGTGATTTAAATCTTATTGCTCCAACTGTAAGTTTTATAGGATAAGTAGCTCATTTCCTCTACAAAACTATTCTTCAAGCACTGGAAAGACAGTCGAATCATATACAGAACACAAAAAAAAAAAACCCTTACTGAAACCTGATTTACTACTTTCAAATAATTGTGCATAAAATAATTCTAAATTAAAAAAAAACAACCATCAGCCAGCTCAATAGTCATCAGTTATAAGGCAACTCGTATTTTGTTCTTCTGGCACCTTACTGTGAAATTGCTACTCAGATAAATCCTCTCCATCCATCCTTTGCTCCAACTGCACTCTCACACTCCCAATGGAAGCAACGCTTGCCGTGAAGCTTTCCCACAGGTAGGGCATATTTGGATGCATGTAAACCATGCTGATGAGCGGAGCAGGAATACACAGATGGCAAGGATGGTCTCTCAGGGACTGAGGAAGGGCTGAAGACTGAAACCTGTTTTGCAAAATGATTCATTTTTAAAGTAATTTTTCACTGATGAAACAGTCTGTTCTTACACTAAAATCTGCAAACCCTTGCTTCTGTAGCAGGGATTTTTTTTTTTTCAAAGTTTTTTTTATAATAGGAGAACTCTCCCAAGATAAATTCTCCAGACTAATTTCCATTAAAAAATTAGGAACATGACTCTTTTTATAAATAAATCTGCTAATGCCATGAATGAGCAATTTTCACTTAAAGTAAAACTTGAGGTAAACCACTTTAAAAAGAAAAAGGTTTATCATGGCCACAGTACTGAAATAGGCTCAGGAACTGAAGTTTATCTTTTGTAAAGGAATTGAAGTCTTCAGTTTAAAAACTAAAAAAAGAATGAAAAATAGTAATCTACAGCTGTATTCTTTTGTTTCAGAGTATTCAAAATACTGGCTTCTGTTTTAAACACCACCTAACGGTAACACTACAAAGTAAGCTGAGGGCTTCAGTTTGTCTGATTCAAGTAATTAAAAAATATACATTGATAAATAATTGGGATACAATCCTTCTTTTCAGATAGGAGTGAGACTGAAAATAAAAACCACCTCCCTTTTAGGCAACCAATAATAAGCATTTTGCCAAATGTATAACCTTTTCAAGTTTCCTTTTTTATTTCAGTTCTCAAAGCAGAATGGACCAGTCACAGGACTACGTTGTTCTCAGCAAAGATACTACCAGAGGGTTTCCATAAAAAAGGTTAACTTGTTTTCTTGACAGTCTCTTTCTTTCCTACATGTGGATTGACCTCTGACATTTATAATATCAGTTCAGCTCCTGGCAACAACCCACCTGCCAACTACAGCACTGCACTGGAAGAAAAAGCGAGAGAACTTGAAAAGATTGCAAGTTTAGGGAAAATATGTATTACTCTTTCAATATCACTGTTATTTTAAGAATGTTAGAGTGGAGGCTGAAAAATTGATGGGATGTATCATCATAAATATCTTCCAGCACATAAAACTGTATCAATGAAGGGGAAAAAAAATATATCAGAGACCTTAGTTCCTTAGTTTTTTTTTTATATCAAATACTTAATGGTTAATTATTTACAACAAAAACAGACGATCAAATGCTCACTTAAAACATAAATGACTAAATCTTGTAAAGACGTGTAACCAAACTGTAACTTAGTGTAATCAAATGCATATTCTAATACACAACTTTACATTGTAAGGAAGGTCTCCTTTACTTCTATATGGCATCCAAAATATCACCGATCGCTGAGCCTATCGTCCAGGAAAATCTGAATGAAAGCTTCTTCCCCTCCTGTACAAACAAATTCTTAGTAAAATCACTATCACTACTTGTGTAAAACTAGCAAACTACAATCCTGTGGTTCATAGAACAAAGAAATGTTGCTGGTCCATGGCCTGATTCACCTGATCTGACCTAAGAACTACTCACTCTTGCTTTCAGCCACAGAAGGCCTTCGCCGGCTAAGCTGGCAGCCTGTGTAACTAACAGGAGCGTGATGCTGCAGCAGCTGCATTTACATTTCTCCGAGAAGGACCTTGGACCACTTTGTACGCCAGGGATCCCAATGAGAGGTGCCTTACAGTACGTGATGCCAACCTGCCCGCTGCTCTCTCCTATTCCATGGACGCTCCTGTGCATTTGTCAACAACAGCTACGCAGCCACGGCAGAAGGAGAGATGTATAAGCTGATCCTCTGGTTTCCCTGGCTACATGGAGAAAATGAAATCCAAGTGCCATTGTGAGGGATTTCACCTTGGCACTGGCCTAGCTGCAGGTGATGGCATGTTGCTACCCACCTCCCTGCTTTCCCGCCCAGCTGTGCAGAAGGACGGCAACTCGTATCGTTACCCTTCCATTTGCAGGTGTGCAGTCTCACACCAAGACAAAACATAATCACTACTTTTTGCCTTCCATATTGAGTTATGCTTTATGTTCTATCACACCACATTCTGTTTCATTCAAACAAGTTCTAACTAATGAGAATGATTACTCTTTCTTTGCCAGCTAATAGTTAGCATGCTACGTTATTAAAGATTCACTCTCTTAAAACCACAGATTAGGAGATAGAAAAGGAATCCTTTGTAGGCATCTCAGAAAACCAGATCTAGTAAATAACACTATTTATTCAATAATCTTGCACCTCTGGGAAACGCTGTAAAATATAAATAGAGCTTCGTGTATTTCTTTATTCCTTCTTCAAAAGGGAAGCAGCTGTGAACGGATTTATATTTACTCTAACAAGCATTTTAGCCTCCCTTTCAGTTAAAAAGAGCTTATTTGATTTTATTATTCCAAGCTCTCTTCTAAAATAATTTCTTTCAGGGCATCTCAGCATTTTCTTTATCTCAGTGCAAGAAGCATCACCCTTTTTAGCCGTTCCTCATAAACAAACTATCATCTTGGTTGCACTTCAATGCACACTCCACATAGGATTTAATATCTTTCACAGGGGACTGAAATGCAATGCAGTCAATTTTTAAAATGATGGTTTGGGACTAAATCTGGCCTGTGGGCAGCAGCTCCTTTCTTGCTCCTACCCATCTCTGGATCAGAGTAACAAAGGTGCTTTACTCTTCCTTCTCACAGAGCCTTGTAGGCAGGTGTACGACCTGCTCCTTTCAGCTTCTCAGCATTTCTGCACTCCTTCTTCCCCACAATGAAAGGGCTATTTCTGTTTTGCTCTCCTTCCCAATCCCTGATTTTATTTGGGATTCTAACTAGTACAGAAGAGATGTAGAGAAATGAGGACAAGCACTCCGGAGAAACAGCTTTCATCTTTTTGAATTCTCATTCTGTGCTGCCTATTTCCTTACTACAACAACGTTTCCCAATTAGAGGTGCTAGATTCTAGGTCAACAAATTAGAGCTGAGACCAAGATTGACTTCCTGCTATTAAATCACATGTATCAGGAAAAGATGAACAAGCATGATCTAATTTATGTATCAAGAACAGAGAAAACAATAGATGCTTGACAAACAATTTACACAAAACAAAAAAAATGCAACAAGCTATCTAGTTTCTAGTGACGGATGTTATACTAGTAGGTTAGATATTTTAAAAAATATCAATCAATTGTGACATCTTTGTGTTCCCGGCTTCTTCCCCTTGGAATCAAGGGGTATCTATTTTTGAGAAAGACAGGGATGAGAAGAACCACTCAAGGATAGGGGGAAAGATTTTTCTTTTTTTTCTTCTTACTAAGCTCCAGGAGAAGGTCTGGAAGGGTGAATTATGAAGCTTCTCTACATCCGGACAGAAATGATTTATGGTGAGGAAGACTAGCTGCTCTGATGGAAAGCAGCAGAGTGGGTATCTTTTTGCTGGGCAACCTGCAAATAAAAAAAAGGGCAACCACTCCCTTCCATATATCCTGGTAAGTAAAATGCACCTTGCTGTATATTCAAACTCCATTTCACACAAAAATTTTGCAGATGAATACATTGCACTTAAACCTCACTACTTTTCTTCTTCATACCCCTTTTCTGTTTCTACCTCCTTAAAGTTATACCGCATCAGGAGGACTTTTTGATTTGGTTTCAGTTACAGTAATAACGCAGGAAAGAAAAGAAGTGACAACACCTACAGCAGAGTGAAACAAATTAAGCACAAAAGCCTCTAGAACAGCAAAAAGCCTGTAGAACTGTAGTTCACGAAGCCAGTGGCCTCCATACGTTTTTGATCGTGCACACCTATTGGCAAAAATTTTTTGAGCATGCACTCCCAATGAATGTATATTTATTCAGAAATTACTGAAGTTCCAGTATTTCCTTGCCACACCAAAAGAGATGTTGTACACGCCCTGGGGCGCACGTACCCCACTTTGGAGACCACTGCACTAAGCTGTCAGGACAAGCCAGGAGCAGAGAGAAGACTCCTTTTTGAGAGGTTAGCTGTACCCTCTTTGGAAAGCATGCGGGAAGTGGAGGGAGGACTGAGGCTTGCAGTGACACTAATGTTGTTAAACAGACTTACTATTACTTGGGCATTTTAAATCTGGAACTAGAAGAGCTGGTATAAGAAAAAAAAATCTGTAATAACCATTTCTTATGGATTGGGCACAACTTTCATTTTTTCACCATATATA